GACGCATGCCCAAGGACAAGGCCATTAAGAAATTCATCATTCGAGGCTGGGCACGGTGGCTCACGCCTACAATCCCAGCACTTTGGGAGGCCGAGCAGGCGGGATCATGAGGTCAGGAGATCAAGACCATCTGGCTAACACAGTGAAACCCCATCTCCACTAAAAATAAATTAGTGGGCATGGTGGCAGGTGCCTGTAGTTCCAGCTACACAGGGAGGCTGAGGCAGGAGAATGGCATGAACCCGGTAGGTGAAGCTTGCAGTGAGCCGAGATCGCCCACTGCACTCCAGCCTGGGCAACAGAGCGACACTCTGTCTCAAAAAAAAAAAAAAAAAAAAAGAAATTCATCATTCGAACGTAGTGGAGGCTGCAGTAGTCAGGGACATTTCTGAAGCAGTGTCTTCAATGCCTATGTGCTTCCCAAGCTGTATGTGAAGCTATATTACTGTGTGAGATGTGCAATTCACAGAAAAGTAGTCAGAATCCATCTCGTAAAGCCCACAAGGACCAAACACGCCCACCCTGATTTAGATCTTCCGGTGCTGCTCCACCAACCCCCACCAAAGCCATGTAAGGAGCTGAGTCCTTAAAGACTGAAGACAAGGCCAGGTGCGGCAGCTCATGCCTGTAATCCTAGCACTTTCGGGGGCCGACGTGGGTGGATTGCCTGAGCTCAGGAGTTCGAGACCAGCCTGGGCAACATGGGTGAAACTCCGTCTCTACTAAAACACAAAAAATTAGCCAGGCGCGATGGCATGTGCCTAATCCCAGCTACTAGGGAGGCTGAGACAGGAGAATCGCTTGAACCTGGGAGGCGGAGCTGCAGTGAGCTAAAGTCGTGCCATTGCACTCCAGCCTGGGGTGACAAAGCAAGACTCCATCTCAAAAAAAAAAAAAAAGGAAAAAAAAAGACTGAAGACAGACTATTCTCCAGAGAAAAAAGTAAAATGGAAATGTACTTAAAAAAAAAAAAAAAAGGCTGCATGCCATTTAATCCCAGGCCCTAGTATGTTTATTCAGAATGTCTGCAATTAGTAAAAATATAAAATTTGAATTTTTTCTGTAAAAGATCAAAGACTAAATAGTTTAGTTTGCTGTCCACGTATTGACTCTATCACATAATCTTTGTTATTTTCTACAACCCTTTAAAAAAAAAAAAAAAAATTACACAGCATACATGTAAGGCTCTATTTTTTTTTTTCCCTCAGAAAAAAACTTGAGCCAGGCGCAGTGGCTCACACCTGTAATCCCAACACTTTGGGACGCCGAGATGGGTGGATCGTTTGAGCCTAGGTGGTTGAGACCCACCTGAGCAACATGGGGAAACCTCATCTCTACCAAACAATACAAAAAAATTAGGTGAGATGAAGCACATCTGTAGTCCCAGCTACTTGGGAAGCTGACATGGGAGGATCTCTTGAACCTGGGAGGCAGAGGTTGCAAGTGAGCCAAGATCGCACCATTGCACTCCAGCCTGGGCCACAGAGCAAGACCCCTCTCAAAAAAAAAAAAACCCCAAAACAACAACAAAAAACTTTACTTCATCCAAGTATCATTTATTTACTTATTAATTATTAAAGAACAAAGTGATCTACAGGTAGGTTAATAAATATATCAGTATTCCTCATTGATTTACATGCCTTATTTTTACTCAAAATAACTGTTGAGCAGTTAATACCATGATACTCAAGAAATTCAAAATAGAAGTTACTTTTGTAAAATGTTTACATTGTATTATTTTTATAAGTCAGTTTTCATATAAGCGCCTTTATAATCTCCCTCACTAAAGTGAAAAAAAAGAGCTTATCTAAAAGAATATAAAAATACACTTACTTCCAGATTTACAAACAAGTGGAGTTATTTCATCTAGTGGGTGCAGCATGCTGAACATAGTGGGTAAAGGTTCTCTAGCAATAAACAAATAATCAATTAATTACCAATACAATATGAATATGTCTGTGCACAAATTTTGCACTTCTCTTGCAAAGAAGTGTCTTCTCCAGATTACATAAGCAACTAGAAACCTACTATCTCAAAAGGCAATCTTCTAAACTTTGTACATACTATTTTTCACATTCTCTTCTATTTCACTCCTAGAAATCTCTCCCCTTGGAATAATTCTATCAATGTATGAACAGAGGGAAATCAATATAGCCCAGGGAATTTCTGCAAACAGCAGTCATCACAGTACAGAACAAATGGAGTAATGTACATAAAGCAGTCTTTTTTTATTCCTCTCTTACTGGCAGTGTTTCTTTGGCAGCTAACAAAGAAATTTTTTTAAAAAGGAAGAAAAAAACTACTTCAAGTAAATTTAAAGTCTGCTTTTTTTTTTTTTTTTTTTTGAGACAGAGTCTCACTCTGTTGCCCAGGCTAGAGTGCAGGGGCATGATATCGGCTCACTGCAACCTCCACCTCCCAGGTTCAAGCGATTCTCTTGTCTCAGCCTCCCAAGTAGCTGGGATAACAGGCACACACCACCACGCCCAGCTAGCTTTTTGGATTTTTAGTAGAGACGGGGTTTCACCATGTTGGCCAGGCTGGTCTTGAACTCCTGACCTCAGGTGACCCACCTGCCTCGGCCTCCCAAAGTGCTAGGATTACGGGTGTGAGCCACCGCACCTGGCCAAAAGCCTACACTTTTTAAGGAATGATATTTTTTAGAGTGAAGAGAGGCTTTCTTTCAAAGCAGAAAGAGATTAAAATCTATAAGCAATTTATTTAAGACTTAGCAAGTGTCTACCTCTTGCACCACAACATGACAGGTGCTGTATGTTGCTGCCCTTCAGTGTGCTCACAATTCATAGGACAAGATAACACACTGCTAATAAACATCTACCATTTATTGCATACTTAATACCTACTAGGCCCTGTGTCAAAGCTTATACACATTTAGCTAGTTTAACTTTGCATAAGTCCTAAGAGGTAAATGATAGTCCTAAGAGGTAAATGATAATATTCCTGTAATACATAAGGAAACTATAGCAAAGAAAGCACTAATGATCTGCTCAAACCAGCACAATGAGAAAATGGCAGAACTAAGAATTGAATCTTGTTATTTACTTTTTTTTTTTTGAGATGGAGTTTCGCTCATCACCCAGCTGGAGTGCAGTGGTGCAATCTTGGCTCACTGCAACCTCCGTCTCCCAGGTTCAAGCAATTCTCCTGTCTCAGCCTCCCAAGTAACTGGGATTACAGGTACCCGCCACCACACTTGGCTAATTTTTTTGTATTTTTAGTAGAGACAGGGTTTCACCATGTTAGGCAGGCTGGTCTCGAACTCCTGAACTCAGGTGATCCACCCGCCTCAGCCTCCCAAAGTGGTGGGATTACAGGTGTGTGCCATCGCACCTGGCCAAATCTTTTTTTAAGCCATTTATCTGCATGTTCAATTTTACCACTTGGATTGGAAAAAAGGCTAATTAAGTGCCAAGTGCATAGAGCTCATGAGTGTACATACAGGTTGAGTATCCCTTATCTGAAATACTTGGGACTAGAAGTGTTTTGGATTATTTGTCTTACATTAACAGTTGAGCAACCCTAATTCTTTTGGGGGTACAAGTGGCTTTTGGTGACATAGAATTATATAGTGGTGGATTCTGATATTTTAGTGCACCCGTCACCTGACTAGTGTATGTTGTACATAATATGTAGTTTTTTTTATCCCACACCTTCTTCCCACCCTCCTCCTTCTGAGTCTCCAAAGTCCATTATAACACTCTGCATACAGCCTTTGCATACTCCTTGCTTAGCTCTCACTTCTAAGTGAGAACATGCAGTTATCTGGTTTTCCACTCCTGGGTTACTTCACTTAGAATCATGGCCTCCAATTCCATCCAACTTGCTGCAAAAGACATTAGTTCATTTCCTCATTATGGCTGATTAGTATTCCATGGTGTATATACACATTTTTTTTTTTTTTTTTTTTTTTTTTTTTTTTAGACGGAGTCTTGCTCTGTCACCCAGGTTGGAGTGCAGTGGCCAGATCTCGGCTCACTGCAAGTTCCGCCTCCCGGGTTCACGCCATTCTCCTGCCTCAGCCTCCCGAGTAGCTGGGACTACAGATGTCCGCCACCTCGCCTGGCTAGTTTTTTTGTATTTTTTAGTAGGGACGGGGTTTCACCGTGTTAGCCAGGATGGTCTCGATTTCCTGACCTCGTGATCCGCCCGTCTCGGCCTCCCAAAGTGCTAGGATTACAGGCTTGAGCCACCGTGCCCGACTATATACATTTTCTTTATTCACTCATTGGTCGATGGGCACTTAGGCTGATTCTCTGTCTTTGCAATTGTGAACTGTGTTGCAATAAACATACATGTGCATGTGTCTTTTTCATATAATGACTTTTTTTTCCCTTTGGGTAGATACCCAGTAACGGGACTGCTAGATTGAATGGTAGATCTACTTTTAGTTCATTAAGAAATCTCCATACTGTTTTCCACAGATGTCATACTGATTACATTCCCACCAGCCGTGTATAAGCACTCCCCTTCCACCACATCCATGCCAACATCTATTGTTTTTCTGACTCTTTAATAATGGCCATTCCTGAAAGAGTAAGGTGATATCTCACTGTGGTTTTAATTTGCATTTCTCTAATGATTACTGATGCTGAGCAGTTTCATGTTTGCTGATCATTTGTATATCTTCTTTTGAGAACTGTCTACTCACGTCCTTTACCCACTTTTTGAGTTTTTTTCTTGCTGATCTGAGTTCCTTATATATTCTGGATACTAGTGCTTTGTTGGATGCAGAATTTGCAAATATTTTCTCTCACTGTGTGAGTTATCTGTCTATTCTGACATTTCTTTTGCTATGCAGAAGCTTTTTATTTTAATCAGGTCCCATTTATTTATTGCTTTCGTTGCATTTGCTTCTGGTGTTTAAGTCATAAATTCCTTGCCTAGGCCAATGTCCAGAAGAGTTTTTCCAAGGTTATCTTCTAGAATTTTTATGGTTTCAGGGCTTTTAAAGTCTTTGATCCCTCTTGACCTGACTTTTGTATAAGGTGAGAGATAAAAAATCCAGTTTCATTCTTCTAAAAAAGGTGTCAGTTTTCCTAGCATCATTTACTAAACAGGATGATGTCCTTCCCCCAATTTATGTTTTTGTATGCTTGTTTGTCAAAGATCAGTTGATTACAAGTATTTGGCTTTATTTCTGGGTTCTCCATTCTGTTCCATTCGTCTATGAGCCTACTTTTATACCAGTACCATGCTGTTTTGGAAATTATAGACTTGTAGTATATGTGATGGCTACATATTTGTTCTTTTTGCTTAGTACTGTTTTGGCTATTTGGGCTCTTTTGGTTCCATATGAATTTTAGAATTGTTTTTTCTAATTCTATGAAAAATGATCTTATTTTGATGAGAATTACGGTGAAATCTATAGATTGCTTTTGGCAATATGGTCATTGTCACAATATTATTCTTCAAATCCATGATCACGGGATGTGTTGCCATGTGTTTGCATCATCTACAATTTCTTTCAGCAGTGTATTGTTGTTCTCCTTATAGAGATCATTCACCTCCTTGGTTAAGTATATTTACAGGTTTTTTGTTTTTGGTTTTTTGCAGTTCTTGTAAAAGGGACTGACTTTTTGGTCAGCTGCAGTGGCTCATGCCTATAATCCCAGCACTTTGGGAAGCCAAGGCGGGCAGATCACCTGAGATTGGGAGTTCAAGACCAGCATGACTAACATGGAGAAACCCCATCTCTACTAAAAATACAAAAAATTAGCCAGGCATGGTGGTTCATGCCTGTAATCCCAGTTACTCAGGAGGCTGAAGCAGAAGAATCACTTGAACCTGGGAGGCGGAGGTTGCGGTAAGCCGAGATCACGCCATTGTACTCCAGACTTGGCAACAACAGCAAAACTCCGTCTCAAAAAAAAAAAAAAAGGGAGACTTGAGTTCTTGATTTGATTTTCAGCTTTGTCACTGTTGGTGTATAGCAGTGCTACTGATTTGTGTACATTGATTTTGTAATCTGAGACTTTACTGAATTTATTTATCAAATCTAGGAGTCTTTTGGAGGAGTCTATAGGGTTTTCTAGGTATATAATCATATCACCAGCAAATAGTGATAGTATGACTTTCTCTTTTCAAATCTAGATGTCCTTTATTTCTTTCTCTTGCCTGATTGCTCTGGGCAGAACTTCCAGTACCATGCTGAACAGAAGTGGTGAAAGCAGGCATCTTTCTCTTCTTCCAGTTCTCAGGGGGAATGCCTTCAACTTTTCCCCATTCAGTATGATGTTGGCTGTGGGTTTGTTGTGTATGACTTTTATTAATTTGTAGTAAGTCCCTTCTATGCCTAGTTTGTTTTTATCATCAAGGGACGCTGAACTTTATCCAATGCTTTTTTCTGCATCTATTGAGATGATCACATGGTTTTTAATTCTGTTTATGTGAAGTGTCACATTTATTGACTTGTGTATCCCTACATCCCTGAGACGAAACCCACTTGATCATGATGTATTATCTTTTTGATGAGAGCAACCCTAATTTGAGAATCCAAAACCTGAAATGCTCCAATAAGCATTTCCTTTGAGTGTCATGCTGGAGCTCAACAAGTTGCAGGTTTTGGAGAATTTCAGATTTTTGGATCAGGGATACTCAACTTGTACTGAGATGAGAGAAAATGGCATATATCTACACTGTTAGCATGAAAATTATCATCATCTCAAACTTTTAGATAAACCTCAGAACCAACACACACACACAAATCCCAAGCAGTAATATTCTAAAGTGAATAAAATGAATACCTGGGTGAACCTTGAGGTACTTCATGTGAAGAAGTGCTTCGCTCAAACAACAATCCATATTTAGTGGGCCAAACATTGGCAACCTTTCAGGTAAAAGGGTGGGAAAAGACAGAAGTAAGAGAACCTACCCCTTTATAAAATATTTTAAAGAAACATTACAGAATGTTTTATTTTCCAATTTACTAATAGCTTTACAAAGTAACATAATCATTAAATACAGCATTTTCTTAAAAAGTAATTCAAATAAGCAACCCTAAGATAAAATCAAATCTAATAAAGAGGAGTTGCTCAGTGTGAAATTCCTGCCACTGGCCAGTATCAGGAACAAAATGACAATGTGTTAACAATAGCACTAGGCATTAAAAAGACGACAAGTAACAAAAAAAGACTAATATTATTCATATGCCTTATTTAATATAACCAAAAGTTCTTACATATCATTTAAACCGACAAACACATACCACAGAAGGCTTCCTAATTCACTTCATTAAATAACTTATTTTTTTGTGAAGTACAGAAAAATGGTAAGCCACTAAAGCTGCCAAAATTTAGTTATTTTGAGTAAAAATAACATTTTTGACTACTATGAAACATGAAACATAAGACATGCCTCTAAAACCAATTAATTCAAAAATGTTCTCCAACAAAACCCCCCCAAAATTTGAAACACTTGTTTACCTGAAATGGTAAGGAAGCTATATAATCCTTTCCTTCTATGCTATGCATGTTAATACATGAGCTTTGCAATATACATATGCATTTTTCTACTTCATTGCTACCTGAAAAGAAAGGGTGCAACAAGACTTATGTTTTTTTCCCCCAAAGGAGTTCAATCCTTACAGCACAAATTATTTAATGCACAATATAAAGATGCTTATGGTAAACCACTATTACTAGTGGCTACTTCATTTGAATGAAAAATACAATGAGATAAACATTTGGAATCATCATAAGAAAAATAAAATTTCAAAAAGAAACTTACTGTAGGCCTTTTCAGACTTATCCTGTGATATAATGAAGTCACACCACAATGCCTAAAATCAAAACAAAATGCTTACCTAAGAAAATTATATCTAAATAATCATCTATTAACTAATGGCATCTGAATAATAATAATAGCATCTACGCAGTAACTTTGCCTCCTCAGCTCAACTGGTACAATCATGGGAACAAAAAGAAGAAGAAAAAATAAATTACAGTAATAAATGATAAATATAATAAGGAAAGACAAAATATGTTTACAATTAAATTTTATGAAAAGATCCACAAGAATTAAAATTTCAAATTAAAAAAATAAATTTTACAAAAAGAGCAGATTCAAAAAACCCGCCAGAGAGAAACCTTGCAGCAAAAATTCAAATAGTGGCTCAAACCATACTAAACCCTACATCCTATACAAAACTAAAGATTATTCAAACTTTATAATCTCTAGATTAAACAATTGCTCTTATTCTTAGACTCTCTCTAGACTGACTTTTGAAAAACTATTTAGAAAAATTAACTCCTCCCTTTCTTAAAGGCCCATCTTACAATAAACTAGGAAAAGCTATTAAACTTTAACTGACATACTTGACAATCACTTATTAAATTATTTAATAGCATTTTGGTTTTTTTTTTAACTGTGGTCAAATATACACAATATGAAAATTAGCATTTTAACAATTTTTAAGTAGACAATTCAGTGGCATTAACAACATTAAATTGACGAGTTTAGTACAATTTGTGAGCCTGTAAAATACTGCACATTTCCAGAACTTTTTCCTCCTCTCAAACACAAACTCCAGGCCCAATGAACAATAACTCCCCATTTCCCAATGCCCTGAGCTCTGGTAACCTCTATTCTACCTTCCCTATGAAAGGACCTGTGCTAGGTATCTCAAGTAAGAGAAACTGTACAACATTTGTCCTTTTGTATCTGTTTTATTTCACTTAACATAACGTTTTCAAGGTTCATCCATGTTATGGCATGTATCAGAAATTTATCCCTTTTTAAAGCTAAACAATATTCCACTGTTAGCATATACCACATTTATTTATCCATTCATCTGTCAATGGACATGGGTTGTTTCTACCTTTTGGCTATCATAAATAATGCTGCTGTAAACACTGGTGTACAAGTATCTGTGAGTCCTTGTTCTCAATTCAATTGTGCATATATCTAGAAGTGGAACTGCTGGATCATAATGGTAATTCTATGTATAAGTTTTTTTTAAGAGACGGGGTCTCACTCTGTCACCCAAACTGCAGTGCAAGGCATGATTCTAGCTCACAGCAGCCTAGAACTCCTGGGTTCACGTGACCCTCCTGCCTCAGTCTCCTGAACAGCTGGGAGTACAGGCATGCACCACGTCTGGCTATATGTATAACTTTTTGAGAAATCGCCAAATTTTTCCACAGCAGCTTTGTTACATTCCCATCAGCAATGCAAAGAAGTTCCAACTTCTGGACACCCTTACCAATATTTGTTATGTTTCTTTAATAATAGCCAACCTAGTAAAGTGGTATCTCACTGTGGCTGTAATTTGCATTTGCCTAATGAAATAGGATGAGCATCTTTTCATCGCTATGACATTTGACACCATGTTTAGAGGATCTCCATTAAGTCTTCTGCCAAATTTTCTTAATTGGCGTAAGTTGCCGTTTTATTGTTTGAGATTGCGGGGAGACTTTCTTTATTTTTTTTTTTGCAGATGGAGTCCTGGCTCTGACGCCAGCCCGATGAGTGCCGGATTCTCAGCTCACTGGCAACTCCGCCTCCCCCGGTTACGCCATTCTCTGCCTCCGCCTCCGGGTAGCTGGGACCTACAGGCGCCCGCCACCTCGCCCGGCTGCTTTTTTGAATTTTTAGTAAAAAGACGGGGTTCACCTGTGTTCCCAGGATGGTCTCGATCTCCTCGACCATCGTGATCCCACCCGCGCCCTCCCAACATGAAGCGGCTGGATTCACAGGCCTCCCGCGCGCCCCGTGCCAAGTTGTGGGAGATTTCACTGTTAAGAAATGCAAAATTCCATGCAGAAACACCATGCATGAGAGCCCGCTCAACCTGAAAGCCAAACAACGCCACCTATGACAGTCTCAACTTCCTTTCATGAAATCCCATCCTCTCAGCCTCTAAAAGCCAACAATATTTTAACATCTCGTTTATCCCTGATATCTAGAGGTCACTAACCCCTCCCACATCGCCCTCTGCTTTATCCTAATCCTTTGCCAAGGCACCCAATCTTATTACCTGACAACACAAAAAAGCCCTGACACACAGTCTCCCAACCTCCAAGTCAATCCTATATATATATTGCCTAACAAAGCAATCTCTTCTCAATAACACAAACATTGATCACTTCATTTTACACAACCTTAGCAGCGCTCCCTTTCAGCATGCAGCTTAAAACCAAATTCCTTAATATATATACCAAGGCCCCTTTGGTCTGTATCCTGAGCCAGCATCCACTTTCATCTCGCCACACACACACGTTTGCTGGTAAGCCATTCTGAATGTTTTTAAAAAACACAGTCATCCTTTTTCCATAATTCCTTTTGCTGCGATTTCCTCTGCCCTAGAATGCCCTTCGGCCACACCATTGCTTATAATACAAAAAGCATCTTCCTTGAAAACCCTCCCTTTGGCCCAGTCCTTTGGCCTCATCACTGCTGGGACCATGCAGTTATTATAGACATTCAGAATACAGCATTTCGGTTATCTGTCCTGTTCGCCTTTCTAGGCTATGAGTCCCTTCAGGTGGCAGAAAACTACAATTCCCTTTGGTTAGCCTCCATACAATAATCTGACAACAGAGTGAGACTAAATACCTTGCAGCAAGGCCAAGGCACAGTGGCGGCCTACACCTGTAATTCCAGCACTTTACGGAGGCAAGGGCAGGGGTCACTGGAGACCAGGGTTCAAGACCAGCCTGGACAAATAGTGAACGGATCCCCATCTCTATTAAACAGTACACAAAGAACTAAATGAAAAATAAAAGAACCACCAAAAAAAAAAATACTTGCAGGATAAGTAAAACAAGAGAATAGAAAAAGATCTGAGTCATATACCGGTTATTATTTCACAACAAAATAGAAATACCTCTTCTCCATATTAGCAAGAAAACTAAAATAACAACGACGAAAATTCCAAATCTTACAATTACAACTTACAAGTCTCTAAGATAAAGGAGAGAACATCAACTGTACTTCCATGCAACAGTAAGATAGGCAACTTTTCTTGAGGGGAGAAATTAAGAATGAAAATATAGAAGCAAAGAAAATACTTGGATATCACAAATGCACTTTTCACATCTATACTCACAAAAAAAAACAAAAAATATCAATTATATGGGACAAGAAATACCATCAAAAAGATCACTGGGGGCTTTAACAACTCCAGGTACACAAAATTTACATACCCCTCAATGTTGGAAAATAATGAATCAGTTTATCCTTCCAAATAAACAGGATTACGAATAACAAGTGCCTCATCAGCGAAATAGTTAATGGCAAGGTGAGAGGATGGAAGCGAAGCAGTGTCCAGAAACAAAGAATTCCAGTATTTACAAAAAATGAAAACTTAACATGTAGCCCAAAAGCCTCCAAAACCTCTGGTGCAATCCTAATTGAACAATATAAAACTGCATTATGTTTTCCTCCAACACTATCTTTGTTATCAAAAAATTTCAGTTACAAGAAAAAGTGAAATAATGCAGCAAACATATTCACCTAAATCACAACAGTCAGGAACAATTGTTGCCAGAACTTTGCTGTACTGGTAGTGCTTTGTGTAACATAATGGGATTTTTGGAACGGGAATTGCTGAACTGTCTAAAACAAATTGCACACACATCATGACATTCACCCCTAAAGAGCTCACCCATGCCTTCTGTTCTACAAAAATAATAGAGTTCTCCTATAAACCATAAACCATCAATCCCTAAGAAAAACAATAACACCTTCTCTAACATCAGCAGTACTGGGCCAGTAATTTCCAAG